ACCATGAAAAAAAATTCATAAATTAATTCAGTTAATTCAGGTGTATCTAAGTAAGGCAGGCCAAAGAGTAAGGGACCAACCAGAAGAGCTGATAGCCTATGAGTAGGTTAATTCATGCTAATCACGAATTGACAGTAGACTAATTTTACAGTGAATATAAAACAGTATTTTCCAGAAATAGGTTTGCACACTGAGAATTAAACTGCATGTAACACGTTTCAGAAGGTTTACCTTGTGAAGGTTTGACATCCACATTTGCATCTTTCCTATTAGAATTTGAATTTGCACCTTCCTCTAATTCATCAAGGTATAAACGATAACGGTGTCCACTCTCATCCTCATATTCCACGTTTTCATCATCCGAATCAACTTCTGGAGCAACATACACTACTTCAAATTCAATTTCACCTCTCTAAAATGCAATGAAAATTAGAAATTTACTTACTACTGCACAGCTACCTAACAGGATTACCAAGATGAGCTAGGTTACTGAAACAAATACATTTTATTATTGTAAACACATTTGCAGTTGTGTTGAGCATTTTGGACATGTATCTGAATCAAGTTTTTACTGACTAAAATAGCACAGCTCTATAGCTAAGCTGTATATTTTTTACAGAATTATCTGAATTTCTTAGATATATTCCAATACATTTCAAACAGTGACTTCTAATGAGGAAGCTTTCTGCTAAATTAGACACAGCTATTAACTGTCTGAAAGAGGCAGGAAAGTTCTAGACCACAAAGAAACACTGTTTGGCTGGAGCTGTTCAGTCATAACAGATTAAAGTATATGTCACTAAAGAATTATTTCTGTGGGGCAATGTAACAAGCTGATTATCATCAGCCTTACTGAAGAATCATTAGCCAATACACGTGTTTAACTGAACCAGTACTGGCCCAGCATTTTTCCTCCTTAAATTTCAAGACGTAAGAGGATTAAGTGTAAGGTGACACAGCCTCAGGAATCACTGTAGCTTAGCATTACACTGTGCTTAACAGTAAACATTAAAATTCAAAGTAATTCAAGGGGCAGAACACAAGAAGCACCTAAACGTGCCTATGGATAACAGGTCCCAACTGACCTGTTGGGAAAGAATAGTTACAGCTTCTTTATGTTTGGCATCTCTTAGATTAACTCCATTTACTGCCAGAATAGCATCACCAACATGCAGTCCTCCACATCGATCAGCAGGTTGCCCAGGGTGGATTTCAGAGATCAGTATTGGAACACCATGCTCCTTCCCACCCTGTTTAAGAAAAAAAAAAAAGTATATTTTAATTAACTGAGATGCCCTTTAACATAAAATCAGCATGCAGGTAATTGCTCCTAAAGTGCTTATTTCAACTTCTATTTTAGAAAATTAGAAATCATTCTTCAGACAAAAAAAAAAATCTTTAAGAAGAACACATGCAATGCTTCCCTTAATTCTTCTCCCCACAATAGAATGGAATATTTCAAATACATACTCAAAGAGTCAAAGGAGGCAATTTTGAACAACAATAACACTATAAAATCATATATAAACTGATGAAAAGCTGAAAACTTCATTAAAAAAACCTATCAGGCACCATATTGACCGGTAAGAAACAGTATTCATATTTAGAATAAAAGTATAATAGTCAAAATTTTTAAAATTTGTTGTAAAAAGTTCATACAGCTTTTGTTAGATGTGAGATGCCAACACAGATACTTAGAAAAAAAGGTTATAATCACAACAGCTAAGGTTTGGAAGTCAGGTCTCAGATTGCCTCTGCTCTTCTACACACTTACCACAACTGAAATTCACCACTGGCAAGTGTCCATACCCTAAACCTCAAAAACATAAGTTTGACATAAAGTAGCAATTATCTATTTTCTAATCTATCAAAATGTGTCTTTTAAGTTCTATGGCCAAAAAAATGGATTTGTGCATGCTTTTTTCATATGTAGGACTTCTGTGTCATAGAAAATAAATGCAAATATTTACTGTGATTGAAATTCCTAATCCTTCATGGTCTTCTTTAACTAGCAAAACTTTTCTGATTGGACCAACACCTTGACTCTTCTTTAAGGCATCAGGATCCTAATTTGATAAAAAACAAACATAGCACGAACATGAACATGTGAACCAAAAACTGATGCATTTCACATTTTGGTTTTTTTTAATTATACACAGGCACTGGATGAGCAACAGAGTTTTAGGCTAGCTCCAGGCAGGACAAACTTACAGTGCCTCTTTACAGAAAAGGTATGAAATCAGAAAAGATTCTCCATTATGCATCCCTGATAAGAATAATTATTTAAATTATTTCAGTGCTGAGTGATGCATAACGAAGAACTTAACTTCAAAAGAAGAAAATCACCCACATATTAAAAATATAAAGAGACTACATGAAGAAATGCCTATCACTGCTAAAATGTTGTACGACATAATTTATAACTAACCAAATGACAGAAGAGGTAATGAGTGCCAATGAAGAGGTTGCTTGCTCAAGTTTATTTTTATTGTCATAAACCACAACAAAAGTCATTGAACATGAAACTCAAAAGCCAGATTAAATAAATCAAAGTATTGGATTTTGCTTTTGTTAAGTCACTTGCAGCATTATGCATACTCTTAAAATCACACATACACATATTTGTCCACCAGTATTTTGCATGCAATCAGGAACATTAGCTGTAAGATCCACCTGACCAACTAAGGTATTTAGAACAGATCAAAGTAAAGCACTTTCCTGAAAATGTTTGGGTTTATGCACTGAACACTGAGGTAATTAACAGGACATGTGCCACATTGGGTGAGTTCTAAGATACCCACAGTGAAATGCTGTTTACAGGTTTAGCTTTAAAAAGTACCTTTATGAGTAAAAAAACCCCAAACCAACAAACAATTATTTTACTGTGTCAATTTATGTGGTCTTTGAGAAAAAAATTGAAATTGATTTCAGTTCAATCAAATAGTAAAAATGTTATTCTTGTTTTTTGTAAGTAAGATAGTTCCACATTTTGAAGTCCAGGTTACAAAATTCGGTTGTTAAATTTATATTTATATAATAATAATAATAAAATTTATATTTATATAATAACATATAGCAGAGGCTCAGTCTGGGCGTTCCCAGGTAAGTCAAAGGAATTGCATTATCTTTCCTGTCATCTGTAGGGACATGCTATTCAGCATGGAACTGTCCCTCAGCATACAAAAGAATTATGCATTTACAAGTGACATTTGAAAGAATACAATATTAAAGTGAAAACAGAGATAAAGTAATTCGTGTCTGTTTCCTGCAAATGGTGGAAATAATGGAGGAAGGGCTTATCTTTTCGACTTACATGACCTGGTGGTGCTTGCATTGGTCGTTTTAGATCATTCCGACCTCGACAAGCTCTAATAACAGTTTTGTGACGGTGAAGGTGTATTTCTGCCTCAAGCTGATTCCACAGCTTGTCATGAGCAGGTCCTTTCATATCTCGGCCCAATAACTGAATCTGTTGGACCCTACAGGGTGACAAGGAGAGTAAAACAAGATGCTGTATTACAACTGAAAAATCAACACACTGTACGAGTCATACACTTCATGTGGCTACAGCACACAGTCATGTGACAATTACTGCAAGAACTGTGGGGATTTTGTTTCTACCTTCTGTTTAATTAACCAGAAATGTGAGACTTTTCTTACTTAGTCTTAACTTCGAACCTGCCTCTGGGGATGCAAAGATAAAAAACAGCAACAAAGAACATCTCATGCTAAGGGATGCGGATTGACTTCACATACCTTCCAGCTAGCTCCTTATCTAAATACTTGGCTGCTAGTCTTGCTCCATAAACCTCAGCCTGAAGCACAGCTATGTGTCTACGAAGGGCTTCATTCTCCTTCCTCAGCAACTTCACCTCAGCTTCCAGCTGAGCTTCTTTCACTTTTTCTTTCTTGTTAGCTTCAAGTTCCCTCTCCTTTACAACAACAAAAAGAGAAAAAAAAAATTGTTGAAAAGCCTTTATCCGAGTTAATTATAGAAGACCACTTACTGTTTCTGCACACACAAACTGAAATTATTCTCCTGCGTACAAGACATGCATGCAGGGAAAAAAGAGAGAAAGCATGGACTTTGGCACTACAGCTAGTGGTTTGCATATTTATCCTATACAAAGGTGGCAAAATTTAGGTAGAACGAATATCATCCCTACTTTTTACTGTCTTGCAAATGGGAGATTCAAAGTTAAAGAATACTATTTTTAAAATTAAAGAGTAACTATAAAGCCACAAAATATTTCAATTTGACCACATTCTTTAACTATTTGATGATGATAATGATGATGATGATGTCAAGGAAACATTTTATAAGTCCATGTATCCTTAAAATGGATTAAAGCTATTTTCATGCAAACAACTGGGAAATGTCCATCCAGAGACATTTCCAAATTAGAGTCTGAAGACTACATAAATAATGCCAGAGATTCTACACATGAAGATGCCTATCCTGACAAACTTAAGGGAGAATTAGTGCAAAATAGCTGTGTTAAAAAACAAAACAAAACAAAACCAAAACCCACACTAAATCCACACTTTAAGCCCTGCACCCCGAAAAAGGAATTATGGAAATATAAATTAGTCCCACAGTGCTCCATCCCAAGTATACAGAAACAGCATAGTTATTACCTTTTCTGATACCTACGGCACTGGAGCAAAAGGAATTAGTATGCTCAGATTGTTAATCTATAAAATCTACTTTAAAGAGAGCACGTTTGATTACTCATATTTCATATCTTGCTCTGTATCCCTTTTACAAAGAGGGAAACCCCCTCCCACTGCAAATAGGAAACAGGAAAATGGAAGAGACACAGGGTCTAGTACTGTTTCCTTTAAAAAATGGCTGACAACTCAAATAGCAATAAAAACTAAGTTCACCATAATGCATCTTTGAAGACATTTTGAGTACCCAAAAAAACCTGTTCTCTGTGCTTGTATCAATTATATTGTTAAGGAAATAAAACCAGGAAGTGCCACTAAAGAAGCAACAGGACAGATACAAAATTTTACAGAACTGGCAAGACAAATCTGTTATCAAATTGTGAATATGATATTCGCTATTCCAAGCCTGGACATAAAACCACTAATATAGTCAATATTACCACATTTGAGAAATTATGCAAGGTTGGTCCTCCAAAGAGTTATTTTCACAACAGATATATCTAAGCATTTATAACTATTTGCCAGAAAGTCAACTCTGAATTTGATGGACTCTGCTATCTCCCTCAACTGTTAAATACTTGTATCAGGTTAGACAGATGAACAGAGTACATTACACCTATGTACATGATGGCCTAGCATAGTGCTCAGTAGGAGTAGCACAAAGACTGCTTGAAACCTGCATTTTACTTCCTGACATTCTCATATGCACATTAGAAAAACATGTCACACAAAGCCACTTATGGTCTCCGGTCTTTTGAGTTGGGGCTTGTCTTGTAAGAATGGCTCTCTTCAGCAAATCTCCTTCTGAACTGCAGGATCACTCCTAGACAAAAATTTTGACTAATCTACCTTTGAAGAATAGGAGTTCTCAAGATTATACCAATTCTTTCTAGTATTATTTTGGTCTTGGGCTTTAATTCACAGCTACTGCCAGTAACCAAAGGGCAATTACAAGAATTCAAGAGTGCCACCATGCTGTGTTGCCTCTGCCACACACCTTGGCAGTGAGAAGGGTCACAGTTCAGGCATAACACCTGTTTTACAGTTGCTGCAAAGTCCATACACAGTATGTATAGGCAAAAGTGTCCCTGTTAGCTGTGTACATATTGCCCATATCGCATCAAGGTGCTCTAAGCAGGATAGGTTCCCTGTTTGTATATATACTCACTTTTAGAACATCCTTTATTTGACAAATATAAAGACAAAGACTAGAATTTAAGACAGGTGTATTCCAACCCGCCTCAGAAAATTGAATTGTTGAAGTGATCCAAGACATCTGATAACACTAGCAAATTTCATGCAGCACATTTAACTGTATTTATACAAAATAGATTACACACTCTCATCAGGACTGAAGTGTTCCAATGATTTTCTCTGAATTTGGTTTGTCATTTAAATTAAATTCAAACAGAAAGCCAAATGTTACATTTCTAAGTAGAATCACTTTTAGTCATGAATTTTAAATGTTACACCTAAAATACCAGTAACAATGCAATTCCATAGAAATATTTTCTTCCTATTTTCCCCATTACTGTGACTACTGTTCTGTGACTGAGGTGGAAAATCACACCCAGAAGCCTTTCTTTTCTGGACTGTCTCCAACTGATCACCACATGAATTTAAAAGAAAAAAAATCAAAAGGTTTGCAATACAGAATCTCTGAAGATGTACTGAAAGAACACATCTTGTTTTGAATGACTGTCAGGAGATGTGACAAAAGTCCCAAAAATGTTTAAAGAAATCAAAGAAGTTACAGAATAGTTTCATGTTTTCTAGTGTTCATAATATGGCATAGGTTCTGAAAACAGAAAATGTATTTTCTGTTAGTAATACTAAAAAAAAAACAACCCTAAACCAAAAATGCAACTGCCAGGTTGAAGGTCAAAGCTTACAGTTACCAGCTATTCCATGGCTTTTCAAAAAGCAAATACTGAGTAATGATAAAGAAGTATATAAGATAATAAAAGTGGAAACACTGTTTAAAAACCTTTCAAGTCTATCACTATGAAAAACCGGAAGATGAAAGTCACCTTTGCTTCCCTTTTTCTTCTTATCTATGTATTACCGTGTTTATATGCTTTTGGCTGTTACACAAGCCAGTACATCATTTTAAATCAGGCCCATAAAAAGAACAGAGAAAAGGAGAAAAAAAAAGGAAAAGTTGACAGGATATTTTTTTATATACAACATGCAAAATACTTCAGATTATACTCATAGATGTGCACAGTGTTTATGCTTTAGAAATTGTATAACACATTAACCTTGTTTTGAGGTACTGCCAGGACAATCTTTCAGAATGTCAAGCTGCCAGATATCACCCCAAATTAGTTGTAGCAATGATAAATAAAACACATAGAAATTTAGGAAAGAGGGCATCACATCTAGAAGAGAAATTTAAAATGCAAAGGAAATTCTTTACACAGCATCTTGCCAACCGTTAGGAAGAAAGAAAAAGCCAGATCTGTTTTGCCAGTTTCTGAGGCCAACATACATTTAAGTTGTTGCACAAAACAAAAGCACTGCTTAAACATGAAGAAAAATTGGCAATCAGCATACTTACCATTTCATCCACAGAAAGGACAGACTTAAGACAGAAGAAAAGAGTTCCATAATTAGAGAAAAAGGCAATAGGAACTTCAAGAAAATGCAACAACATAGGTTACTTACTCCAAAAGACATTCACCAGCAAGACTGTATATTTTATCAGAGGGCATAAAGAACAAGCACACTGCTACAATTGTATTTAGCAACAATTTTGTTATTTTGCAGTGAATGTTATTAAAAACCTTATTAAAAACTTACCCTTAGTGTAGCATTAAAACCAGTATTTTCTCCTAAAATACCAAGAATCTCTAAAGAATTGCAAAGTAATGCAATATACATGAAGGTATCAGAGAAAACCCATTCTGCACTATAACATCTGTTACGCAGATAACAGATTTTTTTCTTTCAGAAGGAAAAACAAAATATGTGTTACAAGAGGGACATAAAGGACGGGAAGAAGCATCAGAAGAGGTATATCAACCGCAAAACTCGAGAAAAAAAATTCAACTAGGCAATTTCGTATTTTTGCCCAGAAAGTGTTACTGTGATTGGACTGAGATTCACCACTCCTAAAAATGGATTCAGCCTAGACCACATAATGTTATCAACTGCTTAGTAATCTAAACATTTTGAAATGTCCTAGTTCACCACTGTGTACAATTTCACAGATTACAGAGTGTTCATTTATGCTAAAAGTCTACATACAAAAGAAGAGTGTCTGTCTCTCAAAGAAAGCAGGAAGTCAACTAGTACAGAACTTTATTTCCCCATTGCATATTCTGTTGACACAGTCCTTCTTTGCCCTCAGAGGCTTTCTGGCTGCCAGAAGGTCAGTATAACAGTTTTTATTTACCCAAATATCACACTTCCCATTTTATTCTCATTTAAGCAGGCTCAGTTTTGCTTGTTCTAGCTTTACAGCTTTCTTTATCTAGAAGAGTTTAAAGTTGAGCTTCTGTCCATAACTGTGAATTCCCTAAAGGCAAAGTAAAGCAAACTCCGAAGACTAGTTCTGATATTTATAAAAAGGAAAAACTAAGGGAAACTAAGGAGAGAATATCAGTCTAAGCCATTAAAAAAACTCAACTTAAACACAGATAAAATCTGAAACAATGTAGAGTAAAATGCACTTATTGTCACCTGTGGGAAGAAAACTGCTGTCAATAGCATGGAGATTTAATATTATCTTGAGAAATTGTTTATAACAAGGTAAAGAGAAACAAAAAGCTTAAAAGTATTACTCTCCATGTCACTCAGCAGTTAAGTCTAACTAATAAAATTTACTCACAGTGAAGTGTTGACTTAAAAAAATTGCTACATGTAAACCTGCAACCTAACACTTACAAAATGCTGGTGCTATTTAACTAATGCTTATTTACAAAGCCATAAGAATAATTAACAGCTCTAAACAAATTTCATCATACTTCAGCTATGAATCAGCACAGAACAAATTATGTACAGACAATCCAGAAAATGTTATACAGAATATACAAGTATGTAGCCCTAGGAAGACAGCTCTAATTCAATCACAGTTTTTGGATCTAAAACAGAAGAATTTGGGTTACTGCTGTTATTCAGTGATTAGCCTAGACATCCTTTAAGCCTTACGGTCTATTACTGCATTTTATTGTACATTAATTAACAGGACAAAATAGCAGTATTTTCCACATACACTGGGACCAGGTATTTGCAACCCAACCGTGAAGCAATTTTAGAAACAGTCAGAGATATACTTGGATTCACACTAACAGTTAGAAAACACATCTCTACAACACTACATTGCTTTTCTAATTTACAAAGTTTTAGTGTTAGAGCCTGAATTTGTGCTGTGGCTTGTAACAAGGCAGACTAGGCTCTGGCTACCAGTCAATGCCAACTAATTGCCCAGATTAATTATTGTTAACTTTTGGTGGGTTTTGTAAAAGGACTGAGTTTCTAAAAAACATATCATACAAAATTATCAGTGGTTTATTGAATTCTTTTACAATAGTCTCCTGCATGTAGCAACGGACAGCACATCAATCGATCCACAGCACTCTTAAAGAATGACCACAGAGAGAGGAGTGTGATGCCATCTACCCTCTCTCTCTCTTTCTGCATGGCAAAGCAATCCCATTCTTACTCTCACCAGACTGTTATTACAATTAAAAAAAAAAAAAATTAACTTATTCCACTTTAGGCTTTTGCAAATTCTGTGAAAATGTGGTTGTGTCTGTTTATTGGAAACTATTACCTTTTGCAATTTCAGTCATCAGAAAAGCTCTATAAATTATCAAAAGATTTTCTTATTTTACTTTAGAAAACCACTATGTAAAAACAACTTCTTAAATTCTAGTTCTTTATTCTGACATTATTCATATTGTTTTTAGTGGTTGCTAACAGCCAACCATAAATGCTACTTAAAAAAGAAAAAGTTAACATTTTCAACATGAAAATCTGTTATAGCTTATTAACACCTTTCAGTGAAAAAATTCAGTCAGGAGAGGGAAAAGAATAATATAACCTTAGATTCAAGTAATCATACTCACCAGTTTTGCCTTAATAGCCCCAGAATCAACACTCTGACCAGTCTTGGCATGGAGCTGAAGCTGAACAGCATGGAGTTGCAAAAGCTGATCATGCACTTCCTTTTCCAAGACTGCTTTCTCTGCCTGTGTTTCCGTCAGTTCAGACTTCAGATCAACTAACTGCGCCTGTGAAGACATAACCCGTCATAGTAATGAGCAGTGATTAAACAGGGTCACCAGAACTCTGATACATAACACACCATTTGCTGGTACATACATGTTACACATGGTGTAACACAGCTAAGAGCATACACTGTCATACGTTCCTCTGTAGCCCAACTTAAGCACTGTGTCGTTTGCAGGATCTTCTCCTCAACTTCCACAAAATAATTTACCCACAAAAGCAGCATCAAACGGCCCTACTGCCAAAAGTAACAACAGCTGAGTTCTTCCTCAGGCAGGCAATGGCACGTGATGCCAATGTCCATGCCAAAACAGGGAAACGGCATTAAACCTATGTAGGATTTACAACCATACCAACGTAAACACAATTTTAAACTGTACAATTATGAAATCTTACTGAAAAAAATACTGATCAAAGCAAAATGATATTTATTTATGCAATGCTGAAATCAAATAATCTTATTTACAACTGGTCTAATATCAACAGCTCAACTGAAACAGCAAATTAGGTGGGTAAACCAGAAGCCACGAATTAGCATGCCCCTAGAATAGATGTGTGGAAAACAAAAAATAGTTATTAACTCTTGAAAAAGTGGGTTTGAAACATTTTAAAAACAGTTTTCATGTAGGGTTTATATCTGGAATAAAAGAACAAGTTTACCAAGTGGCTTGTTATCCTTAAGTTCAATTAGCATTTTATAAGACAAGATAGATAGACAGATAGATAGACAGACAGATAAGCTTTAAAGCTACTATTTGCAAAAAAAAAAAAAAAAAAAAAAAAAAAAAAAAAAAAAAAAAAAAAAAAAAAAAAAAAAAA